CTTAGCCACTATGCTACCAGAGCTCCTGATGGCAGTATAGATAATAAAATATAATAGGACAAATTAAGAAATAGTTTAACAGTTAATTCATAGGAGAAATAAGGACCTGAAAGAATGCAATAATAGTGATGATGGAGAGGAAGGACTGGATATGAGATGTATTTAGGACGTAGAAAATAAAACATAATGACTGTGGTTAAGGGTAGGAAAGAGGTAAATTCTGCCTTGGTTTCTGGCTTCGGTGACTGATTGAGTGGATGATAGTGCTGTTCAGCAAATATTTATTGAACTGAACTGTTGAGATGTAAAATGAAACTGCTTTGTAATTTGCACCCAAATCACAATAAAATTTAAAATAAAAATTTATTGAGCACCTTGGGTGAAGTTCAGTTCTAGGTACGTGAGAAATACTGTCCCTATTCTTAAGGAACTTCTGGTTAGCTGGAGTGACCATTGTTTCATCTCTAGTCTTTTTAAAATTAGTAATTAATGCTTGGAATGTTATGTTGCAAAATTCAGTAGGGTAGGTTCTGTGAAATATTAACAATGTAAAGATATCATGGCTTTAGGAGATAGCAGAAGGAATTTTATAGCCTTGAGGTAGGAAAAGGCAACATATATTTGAATAGTGATTCTCAAAATGTGGGTCCTAAATTAGAAGCATTATTATCATCCAGGTGTTAGAAATGAACATTGGCAACCTAGGAGATACAGGAGAAACAGATTTGAGGGAGAACTGGTGATTTTTGTTTTGGACAAGTAGAATTTAAAGTAGTCTTGGGTCAGCTAGGGCATTATAGCCAACAAGTAATTGATTATATCTGGAGTTCAAAAAAGTGATCTGGAGTTGGCTTAAAGATTTGAGTGTTACCTGTTTAATTGTATTAGGTAGTAGTTCATGAAACTCGGTGTAATTCTACAGAGATAATATGAGTAGAGAGCCTAGTAGAGAAGCCTAAAGAATAGTGCCTTTAAGAGGCAGGCAGAAGTTGAGGAGCTTGTAAAGGTTGTTTGAGAGTGAACAACCAGAGACTTGGAAAATCAAGAGTGATGTCAGGTTTAAGAA